GACCTGGTGGCGTTCGGGGCATTGGGTTGCCCTGAATACCTTGTCGAATGTCTCAATCCATTCCTCGAAGGTTGTGGGGTCTTCGTCTCCCGAGAGGGTGGGTGGTTGGTGTGCCGAGACTTGGTGGTGGATTTCCAAGTTCTCGTTTGTTGGTAGAGGTTGGGGAATGACGGTACTTAGTGCCTGGACAATTTGGGTCAGGCATTGTAGAGTCTGAGTCAAGACTTCTTGGGAAGGGCGTCTCGGTGTTCCTGTCTGTTTCTTCTTGGGTGTCATCTTGGTGGTTAAAGGTTGATATTATTTTGTGTTTCACCTTGATGTAATAAGTGAGGAAGAGATTCTTAATATTAAAGAGGGATGAAGTGCGGGGGAGGGGGGGGGGGTGACGTGTAGGTTTCACAATCTCACTGCGCATCCTAAGATTCCTAAGGCCTATGTTCCTAAGTACCTAGAGTTCAAGCCTAATGTCCTAAAGTCCGGTCTTAAGAGTCTTTTCCTATGGTCAAACTTAGGCTCTGATACCAACTGTAACACCCCAGATTTTTTTAAGACTTTTTCAAACTTATAATAAAGATAGAATCTTATTAAATCCCAAGATATAAATACAAGCGTACGGGGTGCTATGCCACACCTGGGCTAGGAACCCAAGTGCACAGGCTAACTAACTAATATCCTCAGAACGTAAATACACAAACGTGGCACGCAGGCCAAAAGGAGACTATCTACTTCTATACTCCAGGTTCTAGCGCGCTCCAGTGACTTAATCTTCTGTGCCTGAAAGCCAAATATATCTGTTCAGCGAGAGATGCTGGTAACCCACAACAACGCGTTGAAATACAATACATATAGAGATATATATAGACATACGAAAACCATTTTGAGCATGAAGATATATCCTACGAACTCTAGCTTGTAAAACCGGGAATGACTCGTCAGATAAGGCTAGACACAAGCAACAGTTATAACAAGCGTATGCAGTTCACAACAGATAAGGCAGATAAGGCAAAGCATAAATAATAATCACAACCCAACATAAACAATCCCCAACATAAATCCCATAGTCACAACCCCCAAGACACTCATAATCACAACTCATCCATATCTCAACACATAGCACACTTTGTTGGCGCCACAGGACCAATCGCATGCCCATACATGAGGGTAAGCCCATATAGCTCTGACACGGCCCCGCAGCACCCTGCCCCGTATCGCAACACGGAGGGGTCGATCGCAACCGACCGATGAACCGCAGCTCATCATAGTTTGATCGCAACCGAACAGTGGACCGCAGCCCAAGAGAATGTCATCTGACCGCAGCCAGGAAATAGGACGAACCACAGCTCGTATAGAAACGTTTGATCGCAACCAAACGGTGGACCGCAGCCCATGAGTATCAATCTGACCGCAGCATCCTTCTGAACCACAGCTCAGGATAACCAATCCGATCGCAACCGAATTGGGGTAACACACACACATAACACATAGCAAGCACAAGCAACCCACAATACACATTGGGAAGGGGGATAAAACGTATAACAAAACCTGTGCGTGATCCATCACATACTAAGAATAGTCCTAAGGGGTTCATACTCCTTCCACCTAGGTCGACGGGGTACCAATTCAACTAGCATGCAATATAATAGACTCATAAACCTACGAACGGTACCCGAATTATCAAACTAGACATATGCACGATAAACGGAGTCCGTCGGGACACCACGGGGGTCGGGGAAACATCAAACGGGGAAGCCGGGGTCCCGGGTGGGACAAGTTTCCAGCGGGTAGCCGGTGGGTGGGGGGTCACCCGCCGGCTGCCTGCCGGATTTCACTATTCCGGGCAGCGGGTCGCCGGCGGGCAGCTGCCCGCCCGCCGACTGCCCGCTGCCGGAAACACTGTTACGGCCGTGGGTAGGTGGCGGGTCCCCTACCCCCCACTGACTCTTTTCATCACTTTTATGCCCCGGGAACCATCGTGGAACCCGAAACCATGCTTAGACACTTCACAACGCAATTAACGGATCAAATACGTGAAACGGACGGCACATGACCTATCATGCTTTTCTAAACATAATCAACACCAAAACATGCGATTTCCCACCCGATAATCCAAGAATCATAGCACACGATACAACCTAGGGTTCTAATCGTTTTTATATCAACAAGAATACGATTCGCCTTCTAATTACAAGATTCGGTAAGAATAACACATAAGCATCAAAAATATCAAACAATTATCAAGAACAACACATAATTATCAAGAATCCCAAATAATCATCAAGAACATCGTAATTATCAAGAAACTCCCAATATCAAGATTATCAAGATCACTCATGGGATCATCTCATCAACATCAATATCCATCCTCAATCTCGCCAATCACAATAACATAGGGGTAGACCCTAAGGGGAATTCATAACTATAAAAATAGATTTTGTTGAGACATGGGTTACCTCTTAGCCTTAATTAATTCCTTGGCTATGAAGGATCTTTCTTTAAGCTTTCTTGATTTCTTGATTTCTCCTAGGGGAATTCTTGGAGCTCTTTGGGTGGTGAGAGATTATTGTGGTGGGGATTCTAGCACTGTTGGAAATTTTTGTTTTTCTGACCACTTTTCCGACCACCCACAAAAATGGTCGGAAAATATGACATTTTTTAAATTTTTCGTCCAAGAGTTAGACTTGATGGAAAAAGGTCGAAATCCGGCCACTTTTACTATGGTTGCTGGAATTTCCGACCATCTTTAGTAGACTGGTCGGAAATACCCATATCCAAGAAAATAAATTTCTACTAGAATTTTTTAAAATTGATTTTTCATTTCGACCACCTACGGTGGTCGGAAATCCTCATTATTATTATTTTTTTGAGATTATATTTAAAACTAAAGTTAGAGCGTGAGACTCTCAACCCTCATTCGCTGCTCAGCGCATCCCTCTCCCTCCGCACCTCAAACGCCATGGACTATCTGTCTCTCACCTAGACTATAGCTTCATATCCATCTTATTTCCTCAAATTTAGCAGATTATAGCTTCATTTTGCGAGCTCAAGAGTCTCCTTGTACTCAGATCTTCACTCCATGTTCACCGAAACACAAACACTTCGTTTTAGGGCACAACTTCAGACTGCTTATTACCTCGACCGTCTAGATTCCATTCATGAATGATAGGTTTCTCTCCTATACGAAGCTGAAAACCTAAGTAACGTGAAAATCAATACCATATTAAGACCGATCGGCAAAAATACAGAACCCTAGAATAGATTTTCTGCAAGATGACGTCGACGGAGTAAAAGCAGATAAGTTTCCAGAACTCTTATAATTTTGTTTATATCTTCAGCATACTTTATTGTTGTAAATTCTTCACAGCATACTTTATTGTTGTATGGGAAAAGGTTTGTTGGTCCTGTTACACCAACAATTTTATCTCTAAGGAAGGAGTTGTTCCCAATTCCTTATCATGAAATTAACTGGAACCAGGCACGAAACCAATGTGCAAAGGTTGGTGAGGCTTGTACTTAATCTCTATAAAGCGTTGAGAATTCATTCAAGTTTACCTGACTATTTCTAAATTCTAATTTTGGGGTACTCTAGTGGCTACCAACCTTGATTGTACACTATTGGTTCTTGTCACATAGTTCCTTAAGAGTCTATAATATCCTGTTGTAAATAGAGATTTATTCACTCTGCTTATCAACAGAGCTCTTCCTTGTGTTCAGTGGACATATGTTACAATTTGATTGATGGCAAAATTGCTAGGTTTACAATCTGTCATGCGCTTGTTTCTTTTACAATATCATCATAGTTATCCTTATTGTTAAAATATGTTGCTTCTCTTTGTAGAATTACTAATGGAGCCTCTCAAGTACTGAACAGTTTTCAAAACAAAGCCTTTACATGTGAATACAAGTACGTTTCATGGAACTTAAAAGTTTCTTTACATATTTCTGGTTTGTATATCATCCTTGTTCTTTCATCCTTTTTATGTAATTAGAACATAACCACACATTTGTAGACAAGCCATCCATTTGGAGGTGCATGAACCCAAACCGTTTGTTAAGAATGTAAGAAACTAGTGGGTTTTGCAGCTTTTGTTATTCTTGCTAGAAGTTCAAACTTCATGGGCTTTTAGTTGAAGAGTTTAGTTTCATGATTAACACATGTTGGAATATCAAGAGACACCTTAGCTACCTCTCAGCCTATGAATAAATGAGGCTATTGCAATATTTCTATCAAGTTGTTATTATTTGGTAATAATGTAACTCTACTATTATTTTACTTGCTTAACATATGTAGCTTCCTAGTGGTGGGTGGTGGATCTTTGTCCCCAAGGCCATCCAATTCATTATTTCTTAATGCAGTTTAATGAAGAAATGAGTTGTATGTCTATAAAAAATGAGAGCAATTTTTTTTTTTCAAATACAAACTTAATATTCAACCATTTTATATGTTTTATTACTAAAACTTGTAATGTTAGAATATATAATCAGGGATTTGGACATTTATATTTTTACAGATATGATGGCCAGTGAGCCCAGATTCACAAATTAGCTGATGGCTCTGTGCGCGTTTTCTCAAGGAATGGGGATGAAACAACAAGAAGATTCCCTGATGTAGTTGATATAATTAAAGAATCATGCAATCTTATTGGACAAACTTTCATACTTAGATGCTGAGGTATTACTTTTGCACTTAGTTGCACGGGGAATGTCACAGTAATAGCCACAACTGTATTGTTATTAAGAAACTTCTGCTGTTTACTTGAGTGATGATACCCTATTTTGTGCTCACAGGTGGTTGCAATAAATAGGAAAAATGATTCAAAACTCAATGTCATTCCAAGAATTATTTTCCCGAGAAAGAGGGAGTAAAGATTCCTTGATCACATTAGATATAGTAAAGGTCTACCATCCCCATACATTTTCTTAGTTTACACAGAACTAAACATTATAGAACTATATTTCATTACCATACATTAGATATTAAGCAATCAATAGAGAATTAAGCAATGGTGAATTCCTCATGGACACAATCTCATATTGAAAAGCTCTGGGGAATATCATCTCGTACTAGGAGGGTGTATCCTCCTTGTGATACTTCTAGGCTTCAGGTTTACATGTTTGTCTTTTTACTTTGCGGTTCAGGGTCTTTTGTCATTGATAGTTATAACCCTTATGTCACTCTTGATATCGTCTTGGCTTGTTGATTGTTAATTTGTCATGCAGGTGCTCCCTCTTGAAATGCCAATGGATCCTCCTAAAATTATATCAGTAGCTCAATTTCGTCTAGAAAAGGTGGGGATCCTTATATAAATAAATCCTTACGAAATGAGGGTATCCATTTTTTTTGCTAAAATTACATTTTGAGGAGCAAAAGACAAGTTAGAGTCATGTTGAATTGGTTTGCTATGAACCAGGCTCATCCACTCCAACTGGAGGCTTTAGCTGTTGCCATCAAAAAGTTAGAACCAGGCCTACCAAGGCCCAACCTCCAACTTGTGGGTAGTTGCAGAAATGAAGCAGATGAGAGAAGACTTCAAAATTTGAAGGACTTGGCTAAAAAATTAAACGTGGAAAATGATGTGGAGTTCCACAAGAATGTGATGTACAGGTTTGGAGCATCACACTGTATATTATGTTACTGATGCTATCTAATACGATTCTAAAATCTAATATTTGCTTCTTGAGGCAAAAGCTTTGCCTCATAAACAGGACTTATTTTACTCTCAAAGCGTTTTTAACTTCATTTTAAAGTATTGTGTTGCAAAGTTTGATTTAGCTCACCAGTAATAGGGAAGGATAAAATTATATATATATATATATATATATATATATATATATATATATATATATTCATTTCATTACAGAGGGATCCTCTGTAGTGAAATGAATTTTTTTTATTGACTGCGTCCCGTTTTCCGACCACCAAAGTGGACGAAATTTCCGACCACCAGGGGTCAGAAATTTGGATCGCGGGCTATTCTCTTGGCCATTTTTTTCGACGGCCTTTGAAAAGTGGTCATTATTTCCGACCACTCTCTCTGGAGGTCGGACATAGCGAGAGGGATTTTTCCGAATACCCAAATTGGTCGGAACAGGCGTTTCCGACCTAATTAAGGCCATTTCCGACCATTTTTCGGTGGTCGGAAAATGGCAAATTTCCAGCAGTGTAGATGCCTTCTAAGTTCCCTATTTATATGTTATGGGGTCTAATTCTCCTAGGATTAGGTATTGGGCTTTAGGGATGGGGGTCCATGGACCATGGTGGGCTTAATGCTAATTAATCATTGTGATTTATTTCTCTTCTTTTTGGGTAGATGACTAATTAATTAATTGGTTTTAGGACTCGTAACACGGGGTGTTACAGTTACCGGGCAAATAACGCTTTTAAGGTAGTGTTATTATAACACGGCACATATTTCCTTTCAACCATACACCAATAGTGTCCGTGCTTCTTAAAAGGCTTCCAGATCGCGCGTTGACGTTGCAATTTTCTCCAACAAGCACCTGCTTCCAGCTTGCACAGTTTCTAAGAGACACCAGCCATGTTTTGAGGTAAGTAATCAACCTTTGCAATCATTAGTTGCTTAAGAAGTATGATCTGTAAGAGCAAAGAAAATGTCCAATGCACATAAATTTATATTTTAATTCCTTGAGATGAGGGAGTAATTGTTGAAAACCAATTAATTAAATCCAATTCAATTCATCAAGTTTCCAGTTCACTGTATGTACAAAAAAAATTGAATGTAGTGAATAATTTGTTGAAAAGTGCATTAAATAGAAGGTGGTAAGACAATAATTTCTTATATAAAAATATTACAGGACGGTGGCTAAAACAAAAAACTCGTAAAAATGTACCATCCAAACTTCACAACTATGAAGTGATAAATAACTGGAGTTAGAGCATGAATAGTGTTTCAAAAATAAAATAAAAAGTAGAACAGTAATTTATGAATGAGGAAAAAATGTCAAAAAGTTATTTCTAATTCGACTAGATGGGAGTAATCATCCCTTCCATTCCAAAATGGAATAAGTTTGTTGTTCTACAAAAGACTTATCGAAGAATCATCATCCCCACACAATTAGGCACACCAAACATCAAGATGGAATGAGGCATCACAATGCAATAAGTTTGTGGTTCCACCAAATACCAGTTGCCTTTGTAGACATGCAATCAATCAACATAGTGGCAGTAAATAACAGAAAGAATATTCACAGAGATTTAGGTTTTCTACAAACCTTCCAGAAGATGAGGCCCTTAAAGCTCTTATAGGTGCTCGTTCTGGTCTCTGAAGAACTCGAAATGTTTGATTAAGCCCACTTCTAAAACAAGTCACAACAAACCTATTGATGTAGCTGCTTTATTTTTCCATTCCCTCGGGAAAAAATGAAGTTAACATGTAATAAAAGTTTGTAGATGAACGCTGATAGCTGGGTAGAAATCTTAGAAAAAAAAAATTTTAAAACATCAACAATCTCAAAAGTTCGAGTCTGAGAACATGCATTCTTCTAAGTCAAATAATATCAACATAGCATTCACAACTTTTAAATATAGAAAATTCAACCAAAAAATTACAGTAGCGAAAACCTAGGGATTTAGGATTAATGAAATTATGAGATAGGGGTAAATGGAATTAGGAATCCAGAGATTAGGTTTTAAGATTCGAGTAATAGAAAATATTGACAAAGAACTAACCTGTAGGACGGTGGGAATTAGATTTTATATATATATTTTTTTATTTTGGTGGGAGTTAGATTTTATATTTTAGATTTTGGTGGGAATTAGATTTTAGCGAAATAATTTTCAGACACTAATAGTGAGGGTAACATCTTTCGTACCAATAGCGAAAATATATTTTTAAAATAAGTATTGAATTAAAATTCCGTCACTAAATCATAAACCTTTAGTTAGAATAATTTTAATATCACAAAAACTATGCAAATAATACATTTAGTGATGAGTTTTTTTACCCGTCGTCACTAATTTTTTGTCACTAAAAATTGTTTTTCTTGTAGTGAACCAACAATGCCATCTGGACCAGAACCCACTGCACAGAAGCAGAAGAATAGGAAAAAAAAAAAAAGAGCACCCAAGCGAAAAGCAACAACGAACCCCCCAACTGATAATAAAATGCACAAAAAAACAAAGAAATCTGCTATAAGAAGAGCGAGATTGGTGAGATGGGCTATCTACCGACAAGAATGTCACACAAGTATTTTCGATCCCTAATTTCATACTAACAATAAATCAACAAAGAGCAGTTTAAGATATTGGTTTTGGTGAGATGTTAAAGATGACAGTATTCAAGTGGGATAGCAGGCTAACTAGATATCTTGTTGAGAGGTTTGATATCTACGAATGCTCACTAATGTTTGAAAACAATGATATGCAGCTTGTAACACCCCGTGTTACAGCCTTCAATCCCGGATTAATTATTCAATTAATTCCGTTAATAATAATTAAAAATGATTTAATTTGGTTAGGATTCCCTTTAATTAAATAATGTGGTCCACCATGGATCGTAGACCCTTGCATAAACTAGAGTCTTAAGCCTATTAGGAATAAAGAGAGTAAACCTTTTACTAGTCAGATTCTAATTAGGAATCCTAGACCTATACATCTATTAGGAATAAAGAAAGTAGGCCTTTACTATTCAGATTATGATTAGGATTCTTGATTCTATAAATAGAGGATTAGAAAATAATTGGAACCCACACCACCCATAGTTATATTACACGAAAATATTCCCGGGAGATTCCCCACCACCAAACCTAGGGAGGTCAATCGGATGAAAATCTTAGAGAAGAACCTTAGTAGCCAAGGATTCTGATTAAGGCTAAGAGGTAACCCATGTTTCAACAAAACCTATTTTCCTTGCTATAATCTTATTCTTTGGCTCATTCTCTATGCTTGTGTCTTGATAAATCTTTTATGATGATTATTATATGATCTTGATGATTTATGAGATGATCTTATGTGTTGATCTTGATAATCTTGATGATTATAAGAGGATCTTGATAATTGTGTGATGTTCTTGATAAATCTTGATGTTCTTGATTTTAAAGATAAACTATGATTGTGATGATTTGAATGTGATTAGAGCCCTAGGTTAAGATTGGGAACTTCGTATTGTGATATTCTTGATTTATTTGGGTGGGACTTCGCATGTTCGGATGTTAATTATGTCTAGAAGATGTTAGGATATGTTCAAATATGATTCTTGGTTTTGATCCATTATTTGACTACGTGGTGTCGTCGTTTATGTTTAAAAGTGTCTAAACATGGTTTCGGGTTCCACGAAAGATCCCGGGACCATTATATTGAAAAGGAGTCAGTGGGGGTAGGTGGGGGTAAGGGAACCCGCCACCTACCCGCTTCCCCTAAGGGTGTTGCTGGCAGCGGGCAGTCGCAACCGCTGCCCGGCATGTCGTCGCCGACCACCCGTTGGAATTTCCCTCCGTGAGATGGTGGTTTCCTCGACCCTCGTGGGGTCCCAACGGACTCCGTTTATTGTGTCTGAGTCTAGTTTGATGTTTCGGGTTCCGTTCGTAGGATAAAAGAGTCTTATATATTGCATGCTAGTTGAATTGGTACCTCATTGGCCTAGGTGAAAGAAATATGAACCCCTTAGGATTATTCCTAGTACGTGGATGACCACGCATAGGTTTCTTTATACGTTTTCTCCCCTTTCCCAATGTGTTAATGTGGGTTACATGTGCTTGCTATGTGTTATGTGTGCATGATACCTCAATTTGGTTGCGATCAAATTGGCTATACGGGATTTGGATGGGTTGAGAACCATACCAACTGTTAACCAGGCCGGTTGTGATCGTTCAGGTATATAAATATTATATAGGGCTGCGGTCCACCGTTTGGTTACGATCAAACGTTTTACATGAGCTGCGGTTCATAATCTGGTTGCGATCAGAAATACACTTTTTGTGCTGCGGTCCACCGTTTGGTTGCGATCAAACGTTATGATGAGCTGCGGTTCATCGGTTGGTTGCGATCAACCCCTGCGAGGCCGTGGTAGCGCTATATGCGCTGACCCTCATATATGGGCATACGATTTATCCTGTGGCGCCACCAAAGTGTGCTTATGTGTTGAGATAATGATTAAATGATGATATGAATGATGTGACCTTAGGATATATGCTAGTGCCTTTATATGCTTGATTATAACTGTTGAATGTGCTTGTCCCTACTTGTTGAGTCTATTCTCGGTTTTAAAACTATGAGTCTCCTAAGTATATATCTTCCTGCTTCATAATGGTTTTCCTATATATATATATATATATATATATATATATATATATATATATATATATTGTATTTTAACGCGTTGGAATGGGTTATTAGCATTATTCGCTGAACAGATATATTTGGCTTTCAGGCATAGATGAGTAGCTTCGAAGCGCGCTAGAGGACCGAGGCTTAGTTAGCTAGTTTCCCTTTCGGCCTGCGTTCCATGATGATGTATTGACATTGTTTTGAGGATGTTTTGGTAGTCTAGCCTATGCATCTGAGTTCTCCAGCTCAAATGTGGCATAGCTGTAACACCCTGAAATTTTCAACTTTTTAAAACTTATATAATGAAGGTAAATCCTTATAATATTCCAAAATATAACATAAGATAGCGGGGTGCTATGCCACACCTAAGCTAGAGGACTTAGGTGCACAGGCTACTAACTAAAATTGTCAATAATGTCAATACATAAACATGACACGCAGGCCAAAAGGGAAACTATCTAT